AGTGCGCGAGGCGCCACGGAACCTGTAGTGCGCTTGCTCCCGGGCGCAAGCGGTGAAAAGGCCGCGGAACCTCAGCCCCCGACCTACACTGCGCGCTGCCGAGGGCGGCGACCGCGACGCCCCCTGGGAGTTGTAGTTTCCGTCCACTTTCCTCCGCCAAATTGGGTTCCGTAGGACAGACGGAGCTCTAGGGCCAGCGACTAACGAAAAGGAGTGAGAATCGGCGACACAAGGAAGGGGATAGGCAAGAGAAAGTCCCCAGAAGAGTTACGGTTTCCGTGGAGGGGACGCCAGAAACCCGAGGGTTGGGAAGGTGGAGGAATGACCCTGACGGCGTGAATTTCCTGTGTGTGCGTGTGTGTGTGTGTGCGCGCGTGTGTTCACCTCCACGTTTGCGATCACGTGAGCAGGCATTTAAAGGAAAAGCGGCGGCGTCACGTGAGAAGAGCGCCTTCCTCAGGCTTCAAGTTGCTTGATTTACCTGGTTCTGTGAAATCGGTATTCCGACCCCTCTCCAAACTTAAACGGCATTGTTTTTAGAAGGAATGAAATTCCTGCTGTGGCGATTTCTGGCTCTTTCTGGGTCTGGAAGTTTAAAATCAGTCCCAAAAGAAGTTAGGTATCATTAGGGCGAAATTTCAAGGCAGTGGAATTTCGAGTTTCTTTAAACGAGACCAACAGTTCTTTTGAACTATTAATTCTACTAGGGAAATCATCTGAAATTAAGATAAATCACAATCAGCATTGAGGAATGTTAACTACAGTATAAATACTGATTTTTTAAGGTCTCATTCTGTAAAGATACATCATTTCCAAATCACAGTGAAAGGAATTTGAATACTTTACCAATTTTGTTTTCTACGATGTGCTTTAGAGATACCTAACTAAAAACCGGTATCAGACACAACAGAATGACATTTGCAGAATGTAATATTGTAGTGACCGTACTGAGATTGATTGTTACAAACTGTTTGCGTATTACATGGTCACATCCTAATTATTTGTATAGAACATTGGTCCAGTAACAGAAATAAAGAACAGCAGCTGGAAATGTATCAAATTCAATGTTCAGAGATAAAAGGGTTAACCATTCTTTCCATTATTTTCTGCAGATAAGTCCCCTTTTCATATTAAAACCTGATGGCAATTAAATTCAGGTATTTTTTCCAAGCTGCTGTGTGAAGAAGATGCTGAAGGTCACCAAAGCATCCTGCAGCATAAGGACTCTTCCGCTCAGTAATTCTGGTGCACTTCCAAAATATACCCACCAATCCAGCTTTATTTCTGTCCAGGAGGCTGGCTGCCAAGGGTCAAGATAAACCCAGGTACGTATATAGCAGCAAGATTACAGTCAACAGACTCTGAAAATTTGAAAATGGCAGACGTCGTGAGACCAGCAAAACCACAGCCACACCACCCTTCTAAACACTGACTTTTTAAGTGATGGATTTGGGGGGATTTTTTAACTTTCTGGGTATTTTCCTGTATTCCTTTCTGGGTATTATTTTAAACTTGACATTTATTTTAGAAGGTGTAAGTGCAAAGGCGTGTGGCAGTTTTATTTTTAATAACAAGGTGTCTGAAACTAATGTCCAACAATAGAGGAATGGTTACAGTCTTTAATATTAAGTCTGCCAAGAACTTTTTTTAATGATAAAGGGAAATAAAAGCTTATGATAACATAATAAACTAAAAAGCAGGAGACACCATTGCACATTACATAAGATTTTAAGTATGTAAATAACACTTAAAAGAACAAAATGCATTAAAATGCAGATGACTCTGGGTGATAGATTATGGGATAGGTTATTTCTTCTGTATTTTCAGAGAAACTGAGGTTAAGGGGATCTTTTAGTTTATGGTTGCTCAGAGAGTTGATAGCCCTGACAACCCCAGAAGGCCTCTGGACGTCTAGTCTTCGGAATAACTATTTTTTCCCTGGCAAGAAGGAGACGGAGAGCTCCATCCGTCCCACAGAACCCCACCTGCCTTGATCTCCTACCCTGTGCTATGGCTCTCTTGGAAATTTGTTCATTTGTGGAGTTGTCCTTCCCTGAATGGAGTCTCCTGCCCTGGTCTTCAAATTTGTGCCTGATGCTATGTACTGGAAGGCCTCTGTCTCTGAGCATTGCCATTTTTACAAAGCCCACAGGTACACCAGACATAAGGACTCCTTAAGCTTTCTCCTCACACTCGCTTTCAGAATTTCCTTCCTGCTGGAAAGAACCCGCAGAGCTTCATTCTCCAGCTGTCGGGCAGAGATTAGCAGCCCTGTAACTGATTTCTTTCTTCCCTCTCCGGCGCTGGGGGCTGCGGTCAGCCACCTGGCATGTGTTAGAGCTCACAGGCAGAGCTGCCTACCTGCACTGCCCCTGGAATCGATGACTAAGGGGAGGAATGAATTCTCCAGTGGGATGTGGTTACAAAATATAAGGCGTGGGAGCCCTGGGAAGAAACTGATATTCATCCTTTATTTATTCAGGAACTGTCCGCTAGTTGGGGCCAAACATCAGGGGACACTTGTTAGCCATTCTTGTCATCCCTTCCCAGTTGCTGTCTCTGCCGTCTTTGTTACTGAGGGACACCAAGCACACTTAAAGATGGAGATACCATACTGGAAACAGGGTAATTAAGCACNCACTTGTTAGCCATTCTTGTCATCCCTTCCCAGTTGCTGTCTCTGCCGTCTTTGTTACTGAGGGACACCAAGCACACTTAAAGATGGAGATACCATACTGGAAACAGGGTAATTAAGTTTATGAACTATTTAGTTTATGAAATATTTAGACCATGGGCTTTCTTCCCTCACTTGGCTCATTCAGTTTCCAGACCCTGACAGGCAGGAATGTATTTTTCGTGCAGGAGATTGAAAGGACTTCTCTGAAGTATCTGATCAGTCCGAGAGAGAAAATGCAAAGATATTAACATGAGAGCTTCATAAGGAAATAAGCCAGCCACATCAGCCTTGGTGAAGACCATACCCATGTTCACAGAGTTTACAGAGAATCATTACTGTCATCCTCAAGTATGAGCAGACAAACAAGGACACCAGACACATGAAGAAAACTTTTAATATGAAAGACAAAGACCAACATTAGAAAACAGAAAAAAAAATAAATAAAGAACTTGGAGGAAACAGGCTGTGCACAAAGAAGAAATCAAGACCGAAATAAAATCATTAATATCCTCAGAGACTGAAGATATTGGTTTGTGAAAGGACATGCTGTTTCAAGAAGTGAATGTTCAGAAAACAAATGAGACCTTTAAAATGAAAGCATTCTAGCAGAAAAAATTTTAAACTCAATAAACAAAAGAAAAAATTTTAAAAAAGGAAAGATGCATCTTACCTCTGCTCAGCTTGTTGAATGGTGGCTTGTTTTATGGATTTTATATTTGTGTCTAATGCATGTTATAACATGATAGATGAAATATATTGTGTGGCTACAGTTTTCTGGAAAAGTTTGGTCTTTTAGGAATTGTTTTTCAGATCTCCATTTAGTTTTTCTTTCAACTTGCAAAAAGAAAGGAAGAAAGAAAAGGAAATGAATTAGAGGGCCAGTTCAGGAAGTTCAACATCTGAATAATATAGGTGCCAGGAAGAGGTAACAAAGAAAATGGGGGGTGGGGTGATCAGAGAAATAATTCCAAAAATGTCCCCAAATTGAAAGATGAGAATATCCAGAATGAAAGGGGCCATTAGGTACTGAGCCTAATAAATGAAAATAGATCTATATTAACATACAGCATGTAAAATTCCAAAATTTGGGGACAAAGAGGCAATCCTTCAAATGTCTGGAGTGAATCAAGGAAACATTTTTACAAAAGCTCAAGAGTCAGAAAGATACTGAACTTCTTAAAATTAGTTCCGGAAGCTAGAAGATAATGACTTCAAATACTGCAGACCCTCTGCCTGCCTTCTGCAGAAAATAAACTTAACAGTCAGCCAAGGTTGGGAAGGGCAGTCATCTGACTGCAGAGTTAGGTAGGGGATCAAGGATCAATCCTGTTTTCATTTCTACCCTTGAAGTACCTGCTCCCTTCAAGTCAGAGCCTTTTGGTGGTGCCGCAATACACATTTTCTCCACCGTTGACTAAGGCTTGAACTTTTTCAACTCTGCTAAATTTCCACTCATCATTTTCTTTCCAGCTTTCAAAGTGGTTAGTAGGAGCTCCTCCCCACTCCACCTCCTTTTGTCCTTGTGGGCAAAGAATGAAAAAGAGCTAAATTCTTATTCTCTATATTGGAAAACAGGTTTACAGTTGTGAGTATATGAAATAGAGTTTATTCTTGTATTATTACTTGTTATTATATTATTTTCCATAGAAACAACTGTAAACCTAATTTTATCCCACCCTGTATACAAAAGTATAATAATGGGCTGGAAGGAAACCCACTGAACACAAACAGTTGTTTTTCTGTCAAGGAAGAGGAAGGTAGCCCTGGCTGGCATGGCTCAGTGGTTAGAGCTTTGCCCTGCGCACCGGAGGATCGTGGGTTCGATTCCTGGTCTAAGGGCACATACCNACAAAAGTATAATAATGGGCTGGAAGGAAACCCACTGAACACAAACAGTTGTTTTTCTGTCAAGGAAGAGGAAGGTAGCCCTGGCTGGCATGGCTCAGTGGTTAGAGCTTTGCCCTGCGCACTGGAGGATCTTGGGTTCGATTCCTGGTCTAAGGGCACTTGGGTTACAGGGGGGGAAATGGGACAGGGTATTGGTCAAAGAGGACTTTAGCTAAATCTGTTACACTTGATTTCTTTTTTTAAAAATAGGGTGGAGCCCTGGCTGGTGTGGCTCTGTTGGTTGGGCATAATCCCATGCACAAAGACATCACCAGTTCTGGTCAGGGCACATGCCCTGGTTGAGCATGCAGGAGGCAGCCGATCAATGTTTCTCTCTTGCTCTCTCTCTCTCCCTTCCTCTCTCTCTCTAAGATCAATAAAAACACTTAAAAAAATAGGGTGGAAGCAAATATGATAAAATAATTCTTTGATTGATTTTAGAGAAAGGAAGGGGAGAGAGAAACATCGATGTAACAGGAAAACACTCATCCGTTGCCTCCCTACTGAAGGCGCCCCCACCTGGGGAATCGAACCAAAAACCTGGGTATGGTGCCCCGAATGGGAATCAGACCTGCCAATCCAACCAACTGAGCCACACTGGCCAGGGCTGATAAAATAATTTTATGAGTTGTTATTTCTGAGTAGTGGAAATATGTTTATTAAGTTGTTCTTTGTGCTTTTTTATATCTTTTAACTTCTTAGATTAAAAAGACCAAAAAAAAATCCCTAGCCGGTTTGGCTCAGTGATCAGAGTGTCGNTTTTTTATATCTTTTAACTTCTTAGATTAAAATGACAAAAAAAAAAAAAAAAGCCCTAGCCGGTTTGGTTCAGTGATCAGAGTGTCAGCCCATGGACTGAAGGGTCTTGGGTTGGATTCGGGTCAAGGGCATGTACCTTGGTTGCAGGCTTGATCTCCAGCCCAGGTCGGGGTGTGTGCAGGAGACAACCAAAGTATGTGTCTCTCTCACATCTTTCTTCTCTCTCTTTCTCTGTCTGCNCCCATGGACTGAAGGGTCTTGGGTTGGATTCGGGTCAAGGGCATGTACCTCGGTTACAGGCTTGATCTCCAGCCCAGGTCGGGGTGCATGCAGGAGACAACCAATGTATGTGTCTCTCTCACATCTCTCTCTTCTCTCTCTCTCTTTCTCTCTCCACCCCCTCCCCTTCCACTCTCTCTGAAAAGCAATGAAAAAAATATCCTCGGGTGAGGATTTTTAAAAAAAGACAAAAGAAAAAGAAAGGGTCAGGCAAAGGAAGGGATGAGGCAGGGGGNCTTCCACTCTCTCTGAAAAGCAATGAAAAAAATATCCTTGGGTGATGATTTTTTTTAAAAAGACAAAAGAAAAAGAAAGGGTCAGGCAAAGAAAGGGATGAGGCAGGGGACAGACTGCTTAAAAGAAGTGGGGACCAACAGTGGCAGGTCTCACAGCCTAGGAAGACGGACGACTGAATTTGAGTTTGACTCCGGCTGAGTATGAGAGTGGTAAAGCCTGCCAGAGCAGTGAACACATGGAGACCTGTTCTCGGGCAGCAGCTGGGCCACAGGGAGTCCCCACAAACCAAGCTCCTCTTGGATCTGTAAGTGTTTCTTCTGGGGACCTAATTCAGGAGCTTTGGTAGGAAAGTGGCCTCTGTGACTCAGTCATAAGATCTGGTGCTCCTATAAAAATACTGCAAGATTTCTTGGTTGGGGGCATGTCTGTGATACTGGACCTCCAGCTTCTGCCTACTGTCTGCAGTCACAAAAGGTGGGATCACAGTGCCCTCTAGTGGTCAAAGAATGTCAATCTCCACAGCCAGACACAAAAAGGTGACATCTCTCACCTTTTAAAAGCCTAGAATGAACTTCCCTTACATCCCATTCCCCATCCTTTTCACAAGTATTCCCACTAAAGAAAGAAGGAATGGAGGTAATGTCCATGGAGATGAAAAGAAGGAAGAAAATTGTTAACACAGTCTCTTATTTCAGAGATCATTAGACAACACTGTTAAATTTTATTGTTTTGAATCCTATTGATGGTTAAACAGTAGCTATACTACCACTGAGAGATAGTGATGGGCAGAGTAATCAAGGTAAACAAGGGCTACAGTGTGGCCAGAGGGAACACAATACAGGAAACTTGGGTAAAAGGACAAGTCAACAGTCAGAGTGGAGAGTTTGGATTCAGTCAGGAAGACCCTGGCCCGGTGTCTGTCACTTACTAGCTGTGAGGTTGACAGCAGGTCATTTTGATTCACTGAGCTTGTTTCTAGAAAAAAAGACTAGCTCCTGTGATCCCTCTGAATTAAGAGGCAGCCCTCAGTGCCCAAGAACCAACTCTGGAGCCAGAGTTGGAATGGAATCCAAGCATTACTACTTACTGTGTGGCCTTGGGCAAACTATCGAAACTTTCTGTGTCTCAGAACCTTGGGGGTGTTAACAGTACCCCAAAGGTCTGTTGTGAGATTTGAGTTAATGCATGAGAAGTACTTGCTAGAGAGCCTAGCAAGCATTCAAGAAGAAAGAGTTAGCTGTTATTATTGTTTTAATAATACACATGTAAAGCACCTAGAATATGATGAGATCAGTAAAGTTAGTTCCCCTTCCTCTGCAATCTGGCTCTGGGTAAAATGCTTATGCCCCCATCATGTGAGCGACAATCCAAACAAGTCTGGTCAATACTCCACAATACCTTCCCAGTATGTGGGTATCACTCCCTTTCTTCCACAGATCTCCTTTCCACATGATCTTGAGTCCTTGCAACCCAGTTAGTTCCCAGTCTTCTGCTGACATTTTTCTGGAGGAAGTGGGGCTAACAGGCTTCCCTCAGGGAAGTCTGAATTCCTTTGACTGCCCAGGAGAGGAAGTTACGCATCAGAATGCACTTGGTCCCCCTGACATCCCTTGTAGAAGGCAAGAGGTCCCCAGAGGTGGGGCCCAGGATTGCCACAAGGATCCATGCTCATCTGCACTAGCAGGGGGCGCTTGCTTCCAATAGTCATTTCAGAGGCAAGCTGTGTGTTCATAATCATTCATCTTAGATCAGTGCACAGTGAAGCAGCTGTGCCAAAGAAGAGTTTTGTCCTTATAGAGCCAACTAGTCAGGAAGGGCAGCCAGCACATCTGTCAGTCATGACCTCAGCACCAATCTCTTGGCCTTTCAGGATAGCCTGAGGAGGGAGTGGAACACAAATGAGATCAAGACCAGGTAAACAGTTTGATGGCAACTGGGGCCTATGGAAAAGAAGCACACCAGGAGTTTATACAAAAACCTTTTATTTACTGTTTATATTTCTTCTCCCCATCCCTATTGATCTGGAACCCAGCCAGCTCCTAAGACTTCCTGCTGCCTGGTTCTTGAAAGTGGGGCCTTGGGGACATGGAGGAGGCCTCTAAGAGGTCAGAAATCTCTTCACCCACCAGTTGTGGAAGTTGAAGGAAGCTTTCCTGCCTGCCGGAAGCTCCAGTAGCTTCCCAGGGTAGCCCCTCAAGTCAGAGGATCCATCCCCCACTGGATGGATACAGGAAGAGACAATGTGTCTCGGAGACCCAAAGACTCCCCACCACTCACTGCTTCTATAGCACGCCAGGCTCTGTAGCTGAACCAATCTCTTTCTTGGAGATGGAGTCCAGCAACAGGAGTGGAGGTGGGATGGAGAGACTGCAGTTCTGGGTCCTAATCAACAAACAGGAAACAGGAAGAGGTTGGCCTGGTTGAACTGAAATGGGAAAGGGAAGGAGAGTGCAGGAGAACATGGGCTGGGTTACTGGCTGGGGTGGGGCCAGCTGGACATCAGTAAAAAGAGATTATAGCCCTTCTAGGAGTAGGCACTCCTAGCCCCACAACCACCTGGAAGAGGGAGAAGGGAGCCCTGTTCCCACTTAGACAAAGGGCTAATGATACAATAAACACTTTTGGTCTCAGGGTGCCCTTTCCTGGCACCAGTTAGTACAGAAAAGGGCAGCCAGCCCTCATGTGCCAGACATGGGTTTGGCTGCCTCCCTGGCCACCAAAGCCCATTCCGGGTACTGTCACTCTTACCTTCACCATTACCGCCCCACCAGAAACTCTGCATGCCCCATAACCTTGTTGCAGACTGGGGCTGCCAGCCAGACTCCAGCTGGTGGGGCAGAAACAGGGCCCTGGAGCTCAGGGCTGTTCGCTGGGTGAGGCCCACCCATGGATTTGTCAAGGCTCTTTCCCACAGTTCTGCCATAACCCAGACATATAGAACCATCCTGGGAGGGCACTGGGCTCTCAGGTTCTCCAGAAGATGAGATCCTGGGGAAGCACTCTCACGGAGGAAGACAAGCCTCAGAATGTGTTTTTGTTTGTTTGTTTACTGTTCCAGGTCCTGCTCTCTTGGCTTAGAAGTCTGAGTCTGCATCCATGAGCTCCGCCTCCATCAGGTTGGTGCGGGAGTGAATGGGCCCCAGTCCCTGCCTGCGGCCCTGGGCCCAGGCCATGGGGGCTGGGGTGCCAGGCAGAAACGGATCCTGCAGGGGACTGGGCTCTGGGCAGAAGGGGTTGGAGACCAGGGTCCAGGCTCTCTGTCGGCAGGATTCCCCAGCTCCCCAGGCGCCTGTGGCCACCAGGCATTTCTGCCGGGGCAACTGTGGCAGTCGAGGAACAGCACTGGCGCTGGCGGTAGATGCAGGGGTGGGGTGGTGAAGCTCGGTGGGTGGCACCAGCGGGCACACCTCTTTCTTCCTCTTCCTCCGCTTCTTTTTGCGGCCCAGGCGCTTCTCCAGCTCTGGGGAGATCTCGGCCTCAACCAGCCATAGGTTGGCTTTTTCCTCTGGGGGCACTGATGATGGGAGAGAGAACATGAGCCTGGGACCCTGACTCTGTCCCCATCACCCTTGTCTCCTAGGACCCCCACTTTGAGCTCTGGGACCCACAACTCTAGACCTCTAAGGCCTCAGCCCCACACTTTGGATCTTCTACAGCCTTTCCTTCCCCCACACCTTCTGGCAACCCCTGGTACTACAGTCCCAGTAACCCCCAGCCTCTATGTCCTCCATCTTCCCGCAGAAACCTGAACCCCATACCTGGAGTTGCCACAGGGGTGACAGACACATCCTGGGGCAGTATGGCTCCTCTCCGAGCCACCATCTTGGTGACATGCTGAGCCCAGGCAGAGGACACATCGGCAGAGGGCTCATTGAGGTCAAAGGCCAAACCCGCTGTGGGGATGGAAGGAAGGGGTAAGGAATCATGACTGCTGGTCCCTTGCAGTCAAGCGCTCCTCCCTTACTGAGCACCATTCACTTTCCCCCAGCCGATGGCTCCCACTCCACCCTGGTAATCACAGTGCTCTCTACCCATCCACAAATTACAGAGCAACTGACATCTGGGGCACCCAGAGCAAGAGTGGGACCTCACTAAAGGGCAGAAATCCAGTTTCTGAAAGCCTGACTTACACTAGCCCAGGGAGAACAACTGGAGAAGACAAGAGAAGGGGAAGGGAGACGAGTCCTCTGGGAACCAAAACAAACTGTTGAACCCAGGACAGAAACAGAAAGGGGAGAGTTGCTGGGGATGAGTAGGATACTGGAAAAGAATGACTGTGAGGAGGGGAGAGGGCACTGTATTGCCCTCACAGCCTTCTGAAGAGTCCACATGTCCACACCGGCCTGAAGGGGGATGGGGCCCAGGTGCTGCAGGGGTTAAGTGGCGCCAGGGGAGGAAAGGGGCTGAAGCTCACCCACAGGCCCATCATGGGAGACGGTGTGCATGCTGAAGGAGAGCTCCTGGCCTGGGTTCTGCAGCAGCTCGCGCCGCTTGGAGAAAGCCTTGGCAATCATCTTGCTCTTCTTGATGCGTTTGGGCTCATCATCACTCTGTCCAGTTAACCTGAGAGCAGCAGGGGTAGGGGAGGGAAAGCGGAGGAGCTTCCCATCAAATCTCGTGAAAGACAAGTGAATCCATTTCCCCTAGGGCAGGGGCCTCCAGAGGGCGAGTCCCTCAGAGACTCTGAGGAACAGAGGCCTACTCTGCAAAGAAGGCGGCCTAAAATGCAGGGCTCCTGTGTGCCCAGTTCTCAAATCACTCCACTCTTAAAAGATGCTGGCAGTGGGCTCAGCACCTAGCCGGTGCTCCCAGGACAGGAGGTGTCACCAGGGGGCAGTGGTGAGCCACAGAGAAGTCAGCTTCAGGTGGCTCCCTACAGACCCTTAGAAATCACACCTGCCCAAGACTGTTTTGGGAGACATGGGACTGGACAAAGCCTAATGATGGGACACCTAGATTGAGACACAAAGGTTTCGGAGTCAGAAAGGGCTGGCTGCTGACCCCACCTGCACCAGGTGCGTCTCCAGATGAGCAGCGTGGCCTTGGTCCAGACCCAGGTGCTCATGGCAATGCCGGTTCCAAACATGGCAAACAGGTTGATTTTCTCCACCAAGAGGCTAGGGCGATTCTTGATCTCACAGTCAGGGATGGGCTTCTTGGTGGGCAGCCCGATGGTTACATTGGCCTGGCACCTATGGTGAAGGATGGTAGACGGGTGAGGCTTTCTGGGTCTCCTGGGTGGGTACCCAGACAATCACTAAGCCCCACAGCACTGATTCACAACCCTGGGTGCTCATTAGAGCCACCTGGGAGCTTTTAATAACTACTGATGTCTGGGCCACACCCCAGACAATTAAATCGAATCTCTGGGGTAGAGACCCAGGCATGGGTGTAGTTTAGAGCTTCCCAGACTGCAAGCTGGAGACTTGAAGGAGTCTGAAGCCGTCAGTGTGAACTGGTGTTCCTTTTAATGAGCATTTTAACTGCTGCTCCTGGTGTCAGTATTTGCTGCACTTCGTTCAACAGCTGAGATGTCTTAATCTCTCAGATTCGTCCTCATTGTGACACAAAAAGCACAGGAAAATTAGCAGGCATTAACGGGCTGTTAACTTATCACAGAGAGGTAACTACTGTGCAGGGCTCTCCAATAAGCTCTGTAAAAGAGTGTGTGAAAATTGGAGACAGCAACTTCTGTGGCCAACAGAATTGGTCAGAGAAGTCAAAACATGAGATGGCTTCTCAACAGTTACAAACACTCCAGCCAGATCGCCATGGGGGTGCAGAGCTGAGCAGGGACTTGAGGGCTGTTTGTTATGCTGGCAAATTACAGAGCAATTGACATTGTGGGTGCCCAGCGCAAGATGGGCAGACCCCTGCTGGACGGCATAGGAAAGCTGACCCTGAAGTCCTGGCTCCGGCTCTCCCCTCCCTCGTGGCTGCCCCCAAGTCCCCAAGCTCCCGTCCCGCACTCACAGCACGTAGTCCCGGAAGCTGCGCTCCCACTCAGCCTGGTTGAAGAAGTCATAGAAGTGGCAACTGAAGGTGATGAGCACAAAGCCAAAGGCCAGGAAGCCAAAAATGCCTGTGGAGGGACAGGGGTGGGCAGGGTGTTACCAACCCCGGGTGTGGGAGCAACTGTGGGAAGGAGGGTGTTTGACCCATTGGGGCCTGCAAGACAGCTGAGTCTGGGATGAATTCATGCTGGGCTCAGTTCAAGAACTACAATCTCCAAAATAAGGCAGGATGGGAACTTGAGGCAACTGTAGGAGGCCCCAGTGGAAGGGAAGCAGGCATGAGGAAGCAGTCTTGTCATGAACTTGAATTCTCCCACCTGAGAAGGTCCCCTTCTTTTAAACTGCTACCTGCCCCAAACACACCAGCCTTGTCTTGCTAACTTGTGCCACTGACTGAGTACATCCTCCAAGACCCTGTCCTGCAGGTCCCACAGCCCCAGGAGGGTGCAATGTTGGGCTGGATAGTACCTCAGGCCAAGGGCCCAGGGGACCCACTCACCTAGGCGCAGCATGGTCTCATTGATTTTGCTGGCAGCCTTCTCGCTCAGTAGCCCGGGGTGGTTGCTCTTGATGGAGAACAGAGTCATGACTCCTGAACAGAAAGGACACCTCAGATATTAGGGGGTTGAGGCCACTCTCCTGGGAGAGAGGGGATGTGGCAGGGGAGGCTTCCATGGCCCTGGAGTCGGGGTCTGATTACTTCTGTGCTGGCGTCAAGCTTGGGGAACTGGAGACACTGGAGAAATGGAGCACAGCTAGTGGCAGATGTGTCATGGACGGGAAAGATTGGGGCAGAGCACAGATGGACAGTAGAAAGGAGAGTGAAGGCACCTTGGTTCTAACCTGGCCGCCCCTAAGTAAGGCAGCCAGGTCCAAGCTGTTCTGCTGAAAAAGGCATAAAAAGGGACTTGAGAGCCCGACCAGTATGGCTGAGCAGTTGAGAGTTGACCCAGGAACCAAGAGGTCATGGGTTCGATTCCTGGTTGTGACACATGCCCAGGTTGCTGGCTCAATCCCTGGTGGGGGGCATGCAGGAGGCAGCTGATTGATGATGTTTCTCTCTCACCCATCTTTTTATCTCTCTATCCCTCTCCCTTCCTCTCTCTAAAAATCAACAAAAACATATTTTAAAAAAAGAGACTGAGAACAGTGCTGTCCAATGGAAATACAATATGAGCCACATACATAATCTCAAATTCTCTAGAAGCCACATTAAAAGAGTAAAAGGACACAAGTGAAAATGGTTTCAATGTATTTTATAAATGGTACACCATTGTTTATTATATTATCATTTCAACATATAACCCATATTACAACTTATTAATGAGTGTGCTATGTCTTTGAAATGCAGTGTGTCTTTTACACTTATGACATATCTCAATCTGGACTAGTTTCAACACATGTGGCCAGTCGCTACCAAACGGGACAGCACAGATACAAAACATAAATCAGAGGCCCAGACAAGGCCAAAAAGAGGGGAAAGAGGTGGGCTGAACAGAAGGCTGACCTTTGTTAGGCAGAGGGAGGAAACTGAAATTTACACACACACAAAACCAACAAAAATGAGCTAAGAAGGCTTATTGTGGAGGTGGCAGATTGCGAAAGGGAAATTAGGGAACAGAGAATCTGTGCATGTTGTGAAAACTGTGCGTGAGTGTGTGTTGTGGCAGGAGGGAGATGAGAAACCAAGCTCCAAAACATTGACAGTATATGTAAATTTAGAGCGAGCTCACTGGACTGAAGGCCCCAACTCGGTCCATGTGGACAGAGTAGGTGACCCACCACACTAGCGCACCTGGCAAAAGGGCCGAGGGGAGGTTGGAACCAGCCCAGGTTCCACTCAACATGCCATGAGCTGTGGATCAAGGCTCTAAAGAGAGGGGTGCATTTTTCTGGCCAACACAAAGGTGTCGTCCTACACCAAGTACCCAAGGTACTGTGTCTGCCTAGAGGGGGCACCTTCCATTGAGCACCAAGACGAATTGTGACCCAGCTGAGGTCCCACTGTGAAGGCAGCAGAGCTGGCTGCTGGCTGCATCTAGCTCCTACTTTCACAAAGCTGGTGCTCAGAGTACTTGTTGCCCTGGTCTTGGTCGGCTGGTCACTCACCTCGGATGAGAAAGTAACCTCCCACAATGAGCACCAGGCCAATTGGGGCCAGCACGAAGCCAGCACGGTATCGGTAGTTCTTGTAGCCCACAAAACAGATGCCGCTCACGGAGTCCCCATCCACCTACGGCAGGAAGGGGCGGGAGGGACAGATTCGGTCACTGGCCCCTGACCCAAGTCCACCCCACTCAGGACCCCAGGCCCCTACCAGTTACTATACCTGAGCCACAGCAAGGATTGCCACAGTGAGGACAAACGGGAGTGACCACGTGAGCAGGTGGAAGTAGGAGGTCTTGCCAGAGAGAGGCTGGTAGGTGGTGCCCAGGGCTTTGAAGGAGGTGTGCCAGGCATAGGTGAGGACCACAAACCAGACGACGCCAGCCATCAGGGCGTAGTACACAATCACAAAGATGATGACGCAGGACAGGGTCTCGTTGGAACTACGCAGACATGTGGGGTGTCACTTGGGGAGGTCATTCTGTGCTCCCTCTACCAGCTCTCTTCACCCTGTCTCCAGACCCTTGGCTCTAAGGTCTGGAGGTTGCCTAGGAGTCAGGGCTTGGAAACAGGACCCAGTCAGATTTGAAAAGTATACAGAAGATGCCCTTTCGAACAGATGCAGACAATCAAGGTCCTAACACTGAAACCAAGGTCCTAATGCTTGGAGACCTCGGGGCAACAAGGCAGAGCTGAATCCTACCCTGAAATCTCAGGTTCAAGTGCAACCTGTCCCTTTTCACACATTTCAGCCTTCCTCCCTCACCTCTGGGCCCCCAAGACACCTACGTGGGCTCCCCAAGCCTCATGGTGCCATCTGCACGGCAGACAATCTCCCGGCGGGCACCGTCCATGAACTGGGCCAGCCAGCCAATGCTGCCCACAAAGAAACACGCATTGACGTAGAAGAGAATGACTGCAGGGTAGCGATTCGAATTCCGCCAGTCAGCCACGAAAGTGGCCTAGAAGAGAGAAGTGGGGTCCGTTCTGTGAGGCTGGGGTTATTCTGCTGCTGCAGACACCCTTAGGACCCTTCCCTGGAGCCCCCCCACCAAGGTGTCCTCTCCCCACCTCCCTCTCTGCCCCAGAGCCCAGCCTCTCTCACTGACAATCCAGCTCCCTTCCCACTTTACAAGCTGAGTGCCCGGGACACCCGCGTCCGCCTGAACCCTCCACATGCGGGCCTGCCCTCGGCTGACCAGGGTGAAGAGCGTGCAGAGGCCTGTGACGGCCCCAAAGGCCGCGATGTAGCTGTGCATGTCCTGGTGCTCGGCCTCGGTGAAGAGCGGGTTCTGGCACTGGATCCCGCAGCCCTCCACGTCCTCATACCAGCTCTTGGGGTTGTCAGTCCGAACCAAAGGAGCCTCACACTGGCCCGAACTATTGAACTTGATGTTCTGCACCTCGTTCTGGCATAAGGGAAGGGGAGAAGAAAGACAGTGCAAAGGGGAGCAGGGAGCTCAGGGGCGACCTCTGGTTTAATAAGAGGTACAGGGATAACATGGCAGAGTGGCTGAGGGCACGGATGCTGGAGATAACCCATGGCAAACTATCTGACTTCTCTGTTACCTCAGCTTCCCCATCTATAAGGTAGAAAAAAATGGATTCATTTGAAATGTGGTGTTGGAGGGGAGCTCTATGGATACCCTGGACCGCCAGAAAGATAAACAAGTGGGTCCTACGGCAAATCAGGCCTGAAACATGGCTGGAGGCAAAAATGACAAAACTGAAGCTGTCTTATTTTGGGTACATCATGAGAAGGCAGGGTTCTTTGAAAAAGACATTAATGCTGGGGAAAATAGAAGGCAGCAGGAAAAGGGAAGGTCAAGTATGAGATGGATTAATTCTATAAAAGAACCCTAGGCGTGAGTCTACGGCAGTGGAGCAGGCTGTTGAGGACAGGGCATTGTGGGCACCACCCATAAGTGGACATCGCCATTAGTGGGAGCTGGCTCAACAGCATGTAACTCACACACCTACTTCATGGTAGGGCTTAAAGGGTGAATGAATAAATGGATGTAAAATGCTATAATAATATTTGGCAGGTAGTAAATAATTAGTGTTACTACCATTATTATTATCATTATTATTTTATCACTTACAAGCTTTCCATCACTACCCAGGACATCCCATCTTGGTGTCTCTGGCTGTTGTACATGGGCCTTGACTCCATAAATATATAGCAAATGTCCTCAGGATAGGTTCCTGCCATCTGTGACTCCCATAACTCCCTAACACCTGACGGAGCTGGTGCTCAAAAAATATTTGTTGAATAGTTATTTTTTATTTAAAAAAAAAAAAAGAAGATAATCCCTGGTAGATGGGCCCAGCCAACAAGCTTCAGTTGGGGTTTGTGGCCTGTTGGGGTTACCCAGGGACAAGGTTCTGGGCTCCCCTGTGACCCGTTATGCCAGGCGCCGCCCTATGCCTGGTCCTGACCAGCTCCCAAAGCATGGGCCTCACCCCCCAGAGCACTCACCGGGCAACCCTCAGGGAAGTGGTCGGGGGTGCAGCGCAGGAAGTCAGGCCAGCCCCGCTCTCTCTCCACGATGGCACAGGGTCCTCGGGTGGCTTGGCAGAGGGTGCGGCTGGGCAGCTCCACTCGGTCGTTCTCACACTTGGGCATGTACACAGCACACAGCAGGGGCTGGATCACTGCCCAGCAACGAGGGGCGTTCCGGAGGCCTGCGGGTGATTACAGTGTGGACACATTGCAGTGAAGACCCCTTTTCATTCAGATCCACAGACACAGCTGCACCCCTGCTCCCCAGGCCTGAGGCATCTCTCTTTGCCTCGCCACAGGCCATTATTGCTCAGAGCTGTTGGGCAAGGTGTTTCTCAGTGGGACATTTGGGCAGGACGCTTCTTTGTGCTTCAGGGCTGTTCCATGCATTGATGGGCATCTAGCAACACAGGACCCTGCCCACTAACTGCCAAGAGAACCCCTAAGTCATTCTGACAACCAAAAAATGCTCCCTCCCACGCCCCATTCCAGGGGTAGTGACTAGAAGAGAAACTGAAGAGGAACTTTCTGGGGTGCTACTCGTGTCCTATTTCTTGATCTGGTACTGGATTCCTGGGTATATGCACCTTGTGAATATCGAGCTTATGATCTGCGCACTTTTCTATATGTACATTATAATTCAATTAAAGTTTTATAAAACAGCCCCCATTTCCAAATGCCCTGCTAGGGAGTATAAGCACCTCTGGCTGAGAACCCCAGGTTGATTTATCTTTTGCCTTTTCAGGGGCACTTTCAAAACCTGCTCCAGGAGAATGGTGGGACACCCCCAACCCCAGCACATGGCCCATGCTGCAGAACCAGGAGACGTTTTCCCTTGCCAAGATCCCGCGACCCCTGGTCCTCTTACCAAGCTGAGGTGAGACAGAGAACAGGTAGGAGCTAAGAAGAGGGAGTCAGGGAGCCAGGTACTCCAAGGAGGAAACAGGAAATCAGGTGGAGAGAAACAGAGGAGGCTGTATCCAGTGCAGAGAGGGGAAAGGAGGTGCCACCAAAACAGAAACGGCTGCCCCAGTGGCTGGGCTCACTCAGCACTCTGCCTGCTTCGCCCCTCCTGAATCATCCTTGCTTCAGGAACACCTATTTCCCAAACAAGAAACTGAATTAGGAGATGCTTCTGAGTACGTGAGAGCCAACGTGAGTGCTGGCCACACTGCTGGGCTGGGAGGTCATGGGGGTAGGTGGATAACTGCTCTTTTTTGAGGGGAAGCAATATAATAGAGAGGTAAGGAGCTTGGACACTGCAACTAGCCTGCCTGGGCCCAAATCTTGGCTCTATCATTTCCTAGCTGTGTGATCTTGGGCAAATTACTTAATCTCTATCTCTAGCCTCAGTTTCCTCATCTGTGACATGGGGACAATACATTTACCTCGTGGACTATAGTGAAGAATGAGCTAACGAGTTAACTGCTTAGCAAGGTACCTGTCATATAGTAAGCACTCAGGAAATGTTAGGTATAATTATTACCTACCTGAGGCTTCTGACCACTCACTGCTCTCACTACGACACAGCTATTCCCGGGGCACAGAGCAAATTCCTGTCACTTAAGAAGCAATGATCTCACCCTGGTCAGGTAGTCCAGTTGGTTAGAGCATCCTCCCCCCAATATGCCAAGGTTGTGGGTTCGATCCCCAGTCAGGGCACATATAAGAGTCAACCAGTGAATGCATAAATAAGTGGAACAACAAATCGATGTTTCTCTCTCTCTCTCAAATCAATTTTAAAAAAAAGAAGCAATGATCTCAGGCAGTGGTACCCATACCTGACTCAAATCAGAATCATTTGGGGAACCCTTGTCACTCTGGGCGGAGAACCCACTCTCAGAAATTCTGACGGAGTGGGTATGGGTGGAGAACACAGCAGTGGGTGCCAGGGGCTGGGTGGGATGAGGGACTATTTGGGATAATGGGGTTGTTCTCTGTCTTGAATGTAGTGGCTGCTTATACAACTCTGTGTGTTTGTCTAAACCCACAGAACTACACAACAAAGGAAAAGTGAATTTTATGGGATATTTATTAAAATGGAGGGGCCTCACTAGAGTACAATGTGTTCTAGAGAAGCAGCAGGAAGTTAATAAAGTTTGGGTTATTTTTTCAGGATTTTGTGATATTCGTGGTAATTACCAACTTTTAAAAATATGTAATTTGTTGTTTTTTGTTTTCTCACTTTAAATGTTTTCTCAGCCCGGCCGGGCATGGCTCAGCAGTTGAGCATTGACCTAGGATCCAGAAGATCGCAGTTCGATTCAGGTCGGGCACATGCCTGGGTTTCAGGTTCGATCCCCAGTGGGGCGTATGCTGGAGGCGGATCAGTAACTCTCTCTCATCACTGATGTTTCAACTCTCTCTCTCCCTCTCCCTTCCTCTCTCTGAAATCAATAAAGATATATTTTTTAACAAATAAAATAAATAATGTTTTTCCATTCTTTAAAAATAAACTCCCCAAGAAAAAGATAGATTATTAAATAAATCTTAAATGACAATGGAGGAGCCATCTGGGGGGAGGGAACTGGACCCTTACCTCATTTCTTACATAAAAATAAATTCCAGATGAATCAAAATAATTACATTATTTTAATTTTTACTTATTGATTTTGAGAGGTAGAGAGAGGAAGGGAGAGTGAGAGTGAGAGGGAGAAACATCGATTTGTTGTTCTACTTATTTATGCATTTATTGGTTGATTCTTATATATGCTCTCACCAGGGATCGAACCCACTACTTTGGCATATCGAGATGATGCTCTAACCAACTGAGCTACTCGACCAGGGCTAATTAATCTAACTTAATAAAATAAATGTGAAAGAAAACTGTAATGAGATACAAATTTTTTTTAACTTTGTTTTTTTGCTAATCCTCGCCTGAGGATGTTTTTTTCATTGATTTTGTGTGTGTGTGTGTGTGAGAGAGAGAAAGAGAAACATCAATGTGAGAGAGACACATCGATTGTTTGCCTCCCCCACAAGCTCCGACCAGGGCCAGGGATAGAACCTGCACCCCAGGTACATGCCCAGCCCGAAACCGACACTCTATCCACACCCACCATTTTTAACTTTAGAGTGAGAAAGATAAAATATTTGAAAATGCTGTATTGGCAAGAGTGTGGGGGAAACTGGCACTTTTGCATATTTTTAGTAGTAATAAAAATTAGTAAATATTTGTGGAGACTTTTTGGCATTACCTATCAAAATTTTATACTAGCAATTCTACTTCACATGTTCACAAAGATAATTTATAAGGTTATTCATTACAGCATCATTTGAAATAGCCAAGAGTAGAAATAACCTGAATGTATATCCATCAGTAGGAGACAAGCTAAAAATATAATAGGACATTATTCAGGGTTGAACTATTTGCATTGAAATGGAACTATCTCCAATAGATCTTGTTAAAAGGATGCAGCTGAGTGGAGAACAGCACCGAGAGCATGCTACCACTGTCTGCGGGAAGGAAAAAACTAAGGACACACCTACATTTGTACATATGTTGGTAATGTCTAGAAGGACACATAAAAACTAGTGTTGGTGGTTGTCTCTGAGAAGGGAAAATGGGGAGCTGAGAACACAAGTGTAGGGATTTAACTTTCGTTGCTTTTGAATTTTGTGCTATGTACATATACTACCTATTTTTTAAAGTAATTAAGTTTAAAAAAATATGCAAATTACTGAGATGAGGGAAGCTTCCCAAAGAGAAGGGAATGAGATTGGTAACAGGAAGAAAGGGGACATCAACTTTATCTGTATTGTTTTATTTTTTGTTTTAATAAAATATGAAACAAAAAGAAAAAATAGGGACACATTTTCTACATTCAGAGAATTTAAAAATAATATTTGCCACAATTTAAACTTTGAAAAAGACTTTTTGTTTGTGTGATTCTGATGAGCAGTCAAGTTGAAAACCATTGTTCGAAGGTTGGGTTAACATTAGAAAACTTAATCAATGTAGTGTCCTACATTCATAGATTAAAGAAGAAAAAATCATATGGTCATCTCAAAAGATGCAGAAGTAGTTGATAAAATCAACATCCATCCATAATAAAAAGATAATTGGCAAATTAGGAATAGAAGAAAACTTCCTTAACCTGATAAAATGTAACTACAAGAAAACTACACCAAACACCACCTTTAATAGTGAAAGGTAGAAAAGCTTTCTATTTAGAATGCAGAAAAAGTCAAGGATGCTGCTACTATCACCACTTCTACTTTATAATGTACTGGAAGTCTTAAGTAGTGCAACAAGGCAATAAACATTAACAGATATATGGCTTTAAAAGGGAGAAACAAAGGCATTATTTACAAATGAGATAACTATGTGTAGAATAAATTTAGCCAGTTTACTGGATTCAAAATCGACTGTATTTTTATATACCAGCAACAATCAGAAAATAAAATGTTAAAGGGTCATTTATAATAGCATAAAATTATCAAATATCTAGGTATAAATCTAACAAACGATATTTAAGAATTCCCTGCAGAAAAATTGTAAAAAAATAGAGAAAATGAAAGCTCTAAATAGAAATATATAATGAGATGATTGAAATACTCAATATTGTAAAGATGTCCTTTTTTCAAATTAATCTATATACTTGATGTAATGGTAATCAAAACCACCAGCAATTATTTTTATATCAAAGCTCAAAGGATCAAGAATAGCCTAGCCCGGCCGGGCGTGGCTCAGCCGTTGAGCATCGACCTAGGATCCAGGCGATCAGGGTTCGATTCCCGGTCAGGGCACATGCCCGGGTTGCGGGCTCGATCCCCGGTTGGGGGCGTGCAGGAGGCGGCCGATCAATGACTCTCTTATCATTGATGTTTCTCTCTCTCCCTCTCCTTTCCTCTCTCTGAAATCAATAGATATATTAAAAAAAAAAAAAGAATAGCCTAGACTCACTATTAGATACTGCCATACTATAAAGTGGAGGCCCTTAGCCTTGAATTCACAAAGGATTCTTGAAGACAATTTAGGGATCCATGAAGTTGGATGGGGAAAAATTACATCTAACTGAAATTTAGCATTTCCTTCCATTATAAATGTAAACAACATACCACAGTAATGTGAGCAATATCTGTGGTTTTGTTACAAATGGAAATCTGATATTTTTGTTGGAGATATCTCAAAATACTGTGACTGCTCATCACCACCTTGATGTTATAGTGGTTATTAAAC